CTGGACACATTCCAGCTTGTCAATATCTCTCTTGAATTGCGGTGCCCAGAATTGGACACAATATTCCAGGTGGGGTCTAACCAAAGCGGAATAGAGCATGAGGAGCATGACTTCCTTAGATCTAGACACTATGCTCCTATTGATGCAGGCCAAAATCCCATTGGCTTTTTTTGCCGCCACATCACATTCCTGGCTCATGTTCACCTTCCTCTCCACAAGGACTCCAAGATCTTTTTCACACGTACTGCTCTCGAGCCAGGCATCGTCCCCCATTCTGTATCTTTGCATTTCATTTTTTCTGCCAAAGTGGAGTATCTTGCATTTGTCACTGTTGAACTTCATTTTGTTAGTTTTGGCCAATCATCTCTCTAATCTGTCAAGATCGTTTTGAATTCTGCTCCTGTCCTCTGGACTATTGGCTATCCCTCATGCTGTATTGGTTATAATGATGATGATGATGATGATGAGATCATGATAATGATAAAACTTTATTTCTGCCTCGCCAGCATCTCCCAGAAGGGACTCAGGGTAGCTCACAAAGCATTTGTAATGTAGCAATACATGTGATGCAATAGATACTGTGCTGGCACGGCTGTACCAGGAGTTTGCATTTCTTTTTCATGCATGGCTAGTTTGCTAAGGTCTATTTGGGTCATGCATTTTGCAATAAGGTGGCTTCCCTTAGTTTGCAACCATAGGGCCAACGACCCATCCATAAGATCTTTAGATCCGCCCCTTTTTCTGGGTTTGGAGGGGGAAAGGGACTTTCAGTTAGTTGTACCGCTGGAAGCCTTACAGACAGGATGTGGGAATCTCTCTCTCTCTCCCACCTGTAAAAGGCTTCAATTTTCACAGCTCTGGGGAGAAAGGCAACAGCTTTCACAGCTCTGGGGACAAAAGGAAATACAGCCAGCTTTTGCTGAGAAAAGGATTTGTTCCACAACCTTTGTCAAAATCTAAAGGACGCCGACTTGGCAGACCCACAGAAGGCCTTATCTGGTAAGGGACACTTGGGCAAATCCATAATGCAGCTTGGAGCCGGGAGTAGGGGCCTCACGCCAGTAAGGGAAAAGATGTTTGCCTGTTGTGTCTCAGAATAAGGTTCACCTTGCTCTCAACCAACACCAAACCACAGTTGTGGAATATATAGTTTATTGTAAGGTTTCCAAAAGAAGACAGATCATAAAGCAATATAAAGTTCAATATTTCAGGTTAAATGCAATCCTTAAAAAGAGTCCAATATAAGCCTTACAGCATGAAGCACAGGTTCAGTGCCAAGTCCAGGAATCAACATGAAGAAATCTTCCAAAGGTGCAGGAACATGAGCACAAAGAGCACAAAGAGTTGAAACTGACACCGAGAAATCCCCAGAGCAGAGCCTATATTCACTAAACATCAAAACAAATCAGCTTTCCCACCGAACTGATGATCTCAACACTTGGCCGCAATCCTTGGGCTCCGTCTCAACACCTGGCCACCTTGACCCTGGTTCTCAGCGTCTGGCTTATCATCTGCATTCCTTTCCTGTGAGAACCGCGGCCTCCCTACAGACTCAGGCTGTGACTGAGAAAACTGAAATCCAACATCTGCACTCTCATCCCCAACATGCTGTTGAACCACAACATTGCCCAAGAAAGGGTCAAAAGCTTTTCCCAAGGAAAAGGAACAGTTTATTAAGCAGTTGCCTGTCCCTTGTGGGCAGATTAAGAAAGCCACCAGTGTTTTCAGAGTTATGAAGTATTTGATTAATTTGTTGAAGATTTAAGCACCAATAAAGAACTTTGTTGAACTTTCTAAGCCTCTACAGAACTTTGTGTTGGGAAACCCAAGGGACCCTTTAGCTGAGGCATCCCCAGGCATCCCGCTGGGCATACAGAAAGCACGTGTTGTATACAGACATTGCCACAGGCCCAGCGTGTGACAGCACAGATACAAATACATCAGTATCAAAGGAAAACATAATTAACATCATCAATACATAAAACAATGCCACAATAAAATCAATCAACTCTAAAATACACATCAATAAAATGTTATAGTAATTATAGACATAAAATGAATAACAACCAACCAGTCATATAAAGTGCTTTCCGTGGGTCTACAATTTGAACCTTTTGGACTCTATAGGAAAGTTTGGTTAAAGAGCCAAATTTTTAGGTTGGACCAAAAACACTGGAGGGTGAGAGCTAGCCTAATTTTCCTCGGAAGGCCGTTCCAGAGCTGGGGGGCCACCACCGAGAGGATCCCTCGTCCCCACCAACCGTACTTGTGAAGGCGGTGGGACCAAGAGGAGGGCCTCCCCGGTGAACCTTAGAGTC